GACTCCCCCCCACGTCCCTGTGTGCCCCCAAGGGCACCCCAATCCCCCCCTCCATGTCCCTGCGTGCCCCCATGCCCACATCCCCCTCCAGGGACGCCCCCCACAGCAGCAGACCCCCTCCCCTCCCCGGGACGCCCCCGCCGGGTCCCCCGCACCCTGCTCGACGAGCTGGCGCACGGTGCGGCGCATGGCCTCGTCCTGCTGCCGCCACCAGCGGGCCAGGAAGGCCACCTCCGCGTAGATGAAGCGGCGGGAGGGGTCGGCCACCAACTGGGCCACCACCGAGTCCAGGATGTACTGCACCCCCGCGTGTTGCACCTCATTACGCACTGATGGGGTCAACCGGGGGTGTCAGCCAGCAGCACCGCGGCAGGGGGCACAGGGTCACAGCATGATACGGGAGCACGGCAACATCCATGGGGACAAACAGGTGACATCCAGGGATTGTGGGGGTCGCAGCACAGCAGGGACAGGGTCACAGCAACGTCCAGGGGACGTGGGGAGAACACAGAGTCGTGGGGGGGGCGCAGAAACATCCAGGAGACACAGAGGGGGGAACACAGAAAGGTCCAGGGGTCCCAGCACCGTCCCGAGGGGCAAAACCAAGAGGCAAACCAGGGTCACGCCACCACACCGGGGACAACGGGCGGAAAGCAGGGTCCTGTCCCCATCCCAAGGACAGGGTTTGTCCCTCCGCCCCCAACCCGCCCCGTGAGGCCGCAGGCTCCATCTCTGGCACTTGGCGTCCCTTCGCCCCCACGCTGGCCTCACTGAGCGCGTCGCCTCCACCCCCAGGGCGGCCTTGGAGGCGTCACCTCCGTCCCTGCAGGCGCTGCGGTGGCCTTGGGGACGTCACCACCCCTCCCCGGATGCTGGCGGGGACACCCACCTCCGTAGAAGTACTGCTCCACCGTCTTGAGCCAGCCCACGTCATCGTGCGTGTGGGGCACCAGGTGCACGTTGAGGAGGTCGGGGCGCGTGGCCGGGCACGACTGCGGGCGCAAGCGGAGTCTCGGGGGACTCGTATGGGGCTGCGCCCACACCCTGCGCCCCCCCTCGCACCCCCACCAAACTGTTTCCGGAGGAAGACGTTGGGTCGCGGGAGAGGATGCAAACGGCTGCTAAAGCCCCAGCCCCCTCCAGGCACCCCAGTGCCCCGCATCCTCCTCTTCCTCCCCCAGGCCCCCCATCCCGGCCTCTCCCCAGCGCTCCCAGTCCCAGCCCGTGCCAGACCCCAACCCCTTCCCATTCCCCAGGCCCAAACTGTACCAGTTTCCCCCTCCCAGTCCCCCACTACTCCCCCCACCCGC